TCATATACATACATACATGTCTATTCAAATAAACTCGAAAAGGGAGTTTCAATATAACTCTCCTAAAAAAGAATAAAAGTTACAATTAAAATTACATTAAAAATTACTGAACGAAGAAAAAAAATCTATTTGGTAAATTACAATTTTAAAAATGATCCGAGTCTTAATTTAAAGAGCAGGTAATTTGCTGTTGAAGCTTCCCGCTTCAACAGTGTTCTTAAGTAGACTGTTCCAATTACCAGTCACTCTAATGAAAAGCGAATCTTTAAAACAGTTGATTCTAGTTGATTTAAAGAAAAGTTTATATCAGTTTCATAACGTACGCAGCGAATAAAGATAATTTCCAAGTATTACAAAGCCGCTAATTCAAACTGAATAAAACTTGATATCTGTGCCTCGACGAAAATCAAGTTATGCTATCTACAATCTGTTTCATTATTGTTCAATCTTATTTAAGGTTTGCAATCATTTCTTCTATACTGAACCATTTTTTGCCATAGTCGGTTGAGGATGTACCCCGATATGAGGGCTTGTGACTTCGGTGATGTATCTATTCAGTGGCGGATCCAGACCTTGAGCTAAGGGTGGGGGGGAACGATTCTTTTTTTGCTTGCCCTGCCTGCTTTTCTCTCTTCTGCGATTCCTTTTTACCCAAAATAATGGGGGCGGGCCCCTCGTCCCCCTGCCCTAGATCCGCCACTGCCATTGCTTCCCAATGTTCTTGGTGTTTTTACTTCACTAAGATGACCTTTGATTTTTTTTTTGGATTTTTTTTTCTATAGAGAAATTCACTTGTGTTGTGGTATTTCTAATCAGTAAACCTGAGTTCTACACTAAAGCAAATTTGGAGGAATGTGTTGTTGAGAAGTTGGCATTAATTCCCGATCATGCCAAACTCGTGGTGAGCTCTTACGGGTTGAAAGGCATTGCTGAAGTTCCCGAAACTCTTCATGTCACAGTGTATCGTGATCGCGAAGACCTATCAGCCCTAACTCGGATGATTGAGATTTTCAGCAAGCGTTGGCAAACATTGGATCTTATTTCCATGATGCAAGAATTAAAAAGAGCTACAAACAAAAATTTTCGGAGTAGAAGTTACATGTCTATCAAGGAAAGTTTGTCTAGTCTTCCGACATTTCAGAAAAAGGAAGAGAAACATTCCTCTTAAGTGACTTGTACTGTCTGTTTAAGCACTTAGTTACCACTGATTCTAAGTTAGCAAGTTCTGTAATTGTTTATAGGTTTAGGAGATAGATAATTTAACTTCCTAGTCACTCCCAGTGCCCTCTTTCTTATTTTGCGTCCGTAATTTAAGCAAACCCTACACGTTGCCACAGTACAGACTTGCACAACGTTATTTTGAAAGGCTGTACGAAGAAAGAACTCCCAGTGATCTTTCATTTTACAAAGTTAGTCGTTAAATTTTCAGTAGTTTAAATACAGTGGAATTCAGAACGGTTTTCAACTGAGTCTCATTCAGAATTGCTTTTATTAACGCTGTTTGCCTCGCGTCTCCCTGTGATTGGGTTTGTAATTCACTCTAACTACTGAATCAATCATGAGAAAGGTCAAAGTGAATTTAGGTTTCCCGCGCTTCCATTGGTGTTTCTTGTATCTGCTTTTTTTCCATCTGCGGTTTATTGTATTGTTTGTG